AAATGTCGATTTTGGACCAAATTTATGGGCAAGTAGGTGTTCGGTTGTTCACAGACTCCCATTATTTTTGGGGAAAAAAATTGGCAGTTTGCCTTGATCGAAACCCTGAAAAATGCTTTTTTCCGGTACTTCCCGTACAAAAGTGTCATTTTTCAAGGTTTTTCAGGTCCTCAGTCGGAGGCTTATGGTACGAAATTGGTAAATCAAAATGGGCTCAAAATCAATCCGAAGCTTTGTCTCGATATGCCAAAACTTTTGGCTATTACAGATCTCAATTATCTTGTCAACTTTTTGAGATAATCGGCGAACAAGTTTTCATAGAACGCGGACGACGCCATACGCACATCGCAATTCTGCACATTTTTCATAGTAAATAACATGTTTTTGGAGGCAGATAGGTCTTGATCGATAGGATTTGTTCCCATCTACATTGTCTAGTGTACAGATATGTGCTTTTTGAAGTTTGGCGTGACGTTATAGTGCTCCGAAAGAGGAGATGTCATGAAATTTTGGCTAGTAAAACCAATACTTTTCCATACAAACAAAGTTTGCGGAAAAGTGAAAAAATATATTGATCCGAATTTATGATTGTTGAAAAGCGTTTCAGGGGCTTTTTGCGCATTTGTTTTATATGAAGAAAGTGAAAGTCTGTTAGATAAGATAACCATATTAATCGATAATAAACTTATCGCTTTAACAATTGATTTCGTCTACGCGTTTATTGTTTATTTCAAGTACTCCAAAAAATTCTTTTGTCTATGAATGCAATTCTAAGTCGACGGTTACCAGTGAAAATGGTTTTCGAAGCTGGTAAGGCAGCTCTGACTTCAAACCATTCAATTGCATCAGGTTGTCGAGTGTTAGCAGCTCCTTTAGCTGCGAATGGAATTGAACATCGATCTTCCTATGATGTAAGTTTTTATTCATAATATGTAGTATGTCTCAAGCTGATGTTTTGTATTCATTATAGGAAGCAATTCTTGCTTTAAATCAGTTACAAACAAACTCAGTGACACTGAAAGAATCAATTGGTCGAACGCATAGCACGCAAAGCACTCATGTTAAGGAAACACAACGGTATTTGGAAAAAATTGGTGTGACACTTGAAGGCTTAGATGAACTTTCGGTGATTCACGTCGCGGGAACTAAAGTAATATGAAAAAATATATATACAAAAAAACTGTTTTGTAATTACATTGATTGTGATTCCATTTCTATTTCCACCCTCTTGTTGAGCTCTCGGTTGTTTTTATCACTTTTTTTTCAACGACATAACCTTATTTTCTATGTACATTGGCATTTTTTTGGGAACTAAGGGAAAGGTAAAAATAACACGCACAAAACAAAAGAACTACTTATGCAAGGGTTAGAGCAAAAGTGATAAAACTCAGCATTGAGCGGACGTTTCTTAGAACTCAGTTAGTTGTTCTTTTGTTTTGTGCGTGTCAAATTGTATTTGTAAGTGACATTTTAAGCAATGAAAATACCTTAAATATAACAGGGATCAACATGTGCCCTCGTCGAGTCAATCCTTCGAAGCCTGGGCGTTAGAACGGGTTTCTACAGCTCACCACACTTGATAAATGTTACAGAACGCATACGTTTGGAAGGCGAGCCCATATCGAAGACGCTATTTTCGCAATACTTTTGGATAATTTACAGTACACTGAAGGAAACAAAAGTTAGTTGAAAACTATCATTCCATTTCGAAGACTTTAGTTACAGTTCTCGTAATTCAAATCATAAGAAAAATATTCCATTTGAAATTAATTTTAGGAAAATGATCACGATATGCCGCCCTATTTCAAGTTTCTCACAATTATGGCCTACTATATATTTCTAAAAGAAAAAGTTGATGTAGCTATAGTCGAAGTTGGTATTGGGGGCGAGTTTGATTGTACAAACGTTCTGCGGTATGTAAGAAACGTTGTTGGGTAGAACCATCGGCGTGACATGCTTCATACAAACGGAATTTCGTACAAGCAGCGCCCGTGTACTTCGTAGTGGAAAAAAAGTGAAGCTTGCTTGTCACCAATATTGATGTTCACGAACATCAAATTGTTTATGCGTTATTTCGCCCATTTTTTGAACTGGAAATGAAAAGTTCTTCAATTTCTAGCAAATTTCACATATGAATTCATAAACACATCGAGAAAACACAACTTTTTTTCACATAAAAAGCAAAAGCAAGATGATTTTTTCGTTGATGGTTGTTCGATCCTGGATCGTTTGTGATTCATTAATGATTTGCAACACATCCATTTTTGATTTCGATATTCCAACTGAATACGATGTTTTGTATTCATTAAACAATTCCATTTTGATCACAAAATAATTTTTTATTAAAATGGCTATGACGAAAAACCACGCGAACGATTGCAAACGATAGCACAAACATTAATGTCTAGGAACATCAAATACGGAAGATTAATGATTTTATCATTCAATTTCTTCCTTTGGCGTCGATTTCGCAATACAATGGGACGGTTGATTGATTTTGTCATGTCGATTTAGGCCCCAATGCTTGATGCCTTCCAAATGTTTTTCGATTACACTGCGTTTGCCCTTATTGGAATGTTGAATGGCAAAATTTAAATTATCACGGAAATTAGTTTGTCTTCTTCGACATCGGTGGTGGGCACTGGGCACTTCGTCGGTCGATTCGGGGAACATCAGCAAACCGGCAGGCTGAAAATTATTTTATGTTCGATTAAATGCGTTCGATTAATTGTTTGTCGCCAATAACAAATTATATTACATTCAAAGTTGATTTTTGAAGATATCTTTTATAAATGTATACTTAAAAATCACAATAGAGATTTTATTTGGAATGAAACAATAAAATACAAAAAAATTACCGTTTTTATTCTGGAAAAATATAAAACTTGCAGATTAGATCAACACAAAATGTTTGTTTGCTTGTATTTTTATTTATTTTGTTTTGTTGCTTCACATCGGCGAATTAATTTGACATTTGTGTCGAACTTCAAGTCAGTGTTTCCCGATGAATTCGCTTTGACAATAATGTCAATTCGAATTTGATGTTCCTAGACATTAATGTTTGTGCTATCGTTTGCAATCGTTCGCGTGGTTTTTCGTCACAGCCATTTCAATAAAAAATTATTTTCTGATCAAAATGGAATTGTTTAATGAATACAAAACATTGTATTCAGTTGGAATATCGAAATCAAAAATGGATGTGTTGCAAATCGTTGATGAATCACAAACGATCCAGGATCGAACAACCATCAACGAAAAAATCATCTTGCTTATGCTTTTTATGTGAAAAAATAGTTGTGTTTTCTCGATGTGTTTATGAATTCATATGTGAAATTTGCTAGAAATTGAAGAACTTTTTATTTCCAGTGCATAAAGTGGGCGAAATAACGCATAAACAATTTGATGTTCGTGAACATCAATATTGGTGACAAGCAAGCTTCACTTTTTTCCACTACGAAGTACACGGGCGCTGTACCCATGTGGCTGCATGTCACGCCCATGGGTAGAACGTGGTTTTCTAAAAATTTGTTCACTTCAGTTGTGTATTCAAGTATAAACGAACGAATGTTTTAATAAACTCTTTCAGAAACACAAAAACCGTCGGCATCACATCGCTTGGACTTGAGCACACCCAACTGCTCGGTACTTCCTATAGAGAGATTGCTTGGCAAAAAAGCGGCATCATTAAATATGGTTCAAGTGTCTTTTCAACCTATCAAAATGATGAGTGTATTCCAACATTGCTAGAGCGGGCCCGTGAAAAAAATGTAAGCCACGTGCCATCATGTCTTTTATTGATAGTAAAAATAAATGCTTACTTTGCTTGTTACTTAAAAAATTATTCTGTGCTAGGCCAATTTGAAGTTCATACCCGACTTCACGGCATATAAAAATAAATGCCACAATGAAAAAGTGTTCGCTGAAATTGCTTCCCATCCAACAAAATTAAGGTATGATGCATCATTCAAGAAGTAATCACAACTCATTCATACATTCTCTACTTCGGTATGACGAAGTCTCTCACCAAGCTTATTTTCGAAAACCTTAGAAACAATATTTTTTCCCACTTTTTGTTAGGAATGCGTCTTTAGCAATTGAACTTAGCTATGACTGGATCCGGAAAAATCCTCAGAAAGTAAAACGAAAATCAATTTACAATAAATTAAATAGCTCTGTGGATGGATTGCATTTGCCAATTGAAATCACCAACGCGTTAGCAAATTGCTATTGGCCTGGTAGATGTCAAACATTACACCAACGCAATATGACACTGTACATTGACGGAGCACACACGATTGACAGTCTACACCTATGTATTGATTGGTTTATCAACAAAACGCAATTGAGGTATGATGTTTTTATGCAAAGTGTTTCATTCCGTAAATATCAATGTTTTTTTTAAATATTCAAATGTATTTAGCACTGAGAAGAAATTCCTGTTATTTAACATAACTGGAGGTCGAAACGCAAACGACATGTTGGATGTTATTAACGCTAAAACGAAATTTTACCGAGCTATCTTCACCCCCAATGTCTCAACACTATGCTCTCGAGCTGCCAGAGGTACATTTGATTTAGTCACTCAACGTTATTATCTCACATCATATACGTCAAAACGAATAACCTACGAAAACGAAAACTAACAAGAAATAAAGGGTCATACCAATGTAAGACGAACTTTTTCGCACTGAAGTCCGAATATTCCATTATTATGGAATCAATGTTTGAATAGAAAAAATTCATATAAGGAGCCCATTTCAAGTACCTCCCATACCAAATTGCGATTTTTCAAGAAATTCCGAACTAAAATGCCAATTTGATACCAAAGTGGTGGTGAAGTTAGTGTTTGGTTGTTCTCAGGCCCCCGTTATTTTGATGAGATAAGTCGACCCCAACCTATTTCAGGTACCGCCCTTAAAAAATATCAATTTTTTGAGGTTGATTTACCAGGTACCCGTTGCACTTCAGGGGTACATCTAGGGTGGCTTAAAATCTAATGGTTCCTGAATTGAAGGGAGCCCGATCTTTTAGCGCTTCCAGATTATCTCTGATTGGGTTCAAGCAATCGCGTAACAA